TCCAATTTGGGGAGAGAGTTAAGCTGAAATTTGAAGGATGTCCGTAAGTTAGTGAGTCAACAGAGGGAAGAGCCCTCTCTGTGAAAGCTTGGTATGAGGAGGTGTGAAAGAGCTTTATGGATTTAGGAAAGCAGATGTGACTGGAGATGAGAAAGTGGGGAGAGCAGAAAATATGGCTGTAGAGAGTCCCTAGTGGGGCTGAATTACAGGAATCCCGGTTTAGTGAGATAGGCATTAGTCTAGGCTCTGCTCCATTGTGAGTTTAGTGCTGACTTTGGAGCTGGTTCTAGCAAAAGGGCTCCCTGTCTTGCCGTCTTGCCCCTGTGGAGAGTCCCCACTTGATTCACTGTTTTGGGTATTTGGATGTTTATATTCTTCTTGAGAGATTGTCTTAATAACCTACCAAAAGACTGGAATCCTATCTGTGAACGATGTGGCACTGTAGCTAGAATCCTATTCTGTGCCGCTTGACCTTCCCATGTGTGGGTTGGCCAAGATCACCAGCTGGGCTCAAGTCTTTGACCGTAGGTCTGTCCCCTTGGCCATATTTTACAGTTGAGTTCAGAGGTGGGTGAGCTCTGTGGGTGCATCTACCTTACAAGTCCCTACTCCCTCTGAGATGTCTTGTCCAGGAGTCAACAAATTCAAGCTCTTGCTCTGATGTGGTATAATGAAGGTTTAATCCATCTCCCTATATCTTGGCCTTCAAAATTACAAAAACTTTATCCAATTATTTTAGAGATACAGGACCTCCATCTGTCAAACGTAAATAGTTGTAAATGCATCAGTCATCTCACTAAATTCTAAACATAAGGGAGTATCATTTCATCAAATTTGAAAATTTTGGGGTCTTGAAATACATTTTGAAAAGTGAGTTTGTGGGTCGAGAGAATGTATTTAACCATATAAGCTCAACGAATGTTTCTTTATTGGATGCTTTGTGCTAGGCATTTTTCTAGGCTCTAGGGTTACATCAGGGAACAAAATAAAGATCCTGATCTCCTAGATCTTCTACTCTAATAGCTAGTAATTTTGTAGCTATTTGGCAGTCACCTTGGCAAGTTTGGGGAAATGCTACAGGCTCTAAATCTAAGCTGCCTTGAGGATAGTTACTTGCAACTCACAAGATCGTTACCCAAAACAAGTACTCTCTGAGAACCGGTAGATTTTTAATAGCTTATTGGACAAATACTGTGACTCCTTTGCATGTTGACCATGACTACAAGATCACACTTAACCTAAGTCTCATGCATTTATCCATCTTTGACTCTCACAAAATTCTTCTATCCCTCCACTGCCAAATATGCATATATTGCAAAGCTCACAAGACAACCAACCCATTTTCCATTCTGAGGATCACCCAGGCCTCTGCTGCTTTCACTCCTCCCCTGGTGTCTGACCTTTGGGTCACTCTGCTTCTCTGTCTTCTCCATAAACATTACAAAGCTGGGAAGGGAAACTTGGAGATTAACATTCAGACTAGTCCATTTCTCTCCCATTAGCTTTCTTAGGAGGAGATAAGGGTTATTTTTATTTCCAATTCACATCATTACTATGGTAATAACACCTTATCCTCTTACAAGGAGCTCATGGGCAGACAGGCAAATATATGAACACTAGCCTGCAGGAAGCCTGAAGGAACAGTAGCGATATGGAATATTTTTCCAATAGTCATGCTTCATTTCACTGAAAATTTCCCAAAAAGTATACTAGCGAGGGTCAGATGATTGCATAAAGAGCTATTTTGAACTTTTCAATGTAAAATATTGAACCTGCATGTGAGGGGTTCATTTCCTTTTCAAAAAGAAATGTTAGGGTTTTCAATATATATTTGTCCCACCACGCAATACCTAAACTGGCCTGTGTGAGTCCAAACAGGGTGTGATTGGCAATCTACTATCAGAAGGAGTAGGGCCAGCAATAGAGCCTCTGAAAAAATATTTATATGAGTTAATACTGTTTTTCAGCATCTTTTGCCTCTCATCTCCACACTTCCTTGAATTAGAACATTTTATTTTTGGAAGTCTAACAAGATAATAAACCCACAAGTTCATTTTCCACAGTAGATGATTCACAAACAGGATGTCAACAGGTTTTTACAATTCCAATTCCAAGTATCCTGGTTGCACAAAAGTGCTCATAGAGATTGATAGATTTATTTTAAAAAGAAATAAAAAATGAAACAAAGAGACATCAATTGGCTTTTTCATTAGAATGACCCCCACCCAGAAGCACTCTTCGTTTGGTGAGCTTTTTACTTCGTTATCTTTGACCTGCAATTATGATCATTATGAGAAATAGTGAGCAAGAGAGGCTGAGAAGTAACTAAGGAGGCTGGTGGCTGGAAATAAGTATTTCCTGCAGCATTTATTACCCTGCAGAAATGTCCATCACTGGAACGTTAGTCTCCTAGAACCACTTAGGCGGCACAGTGGAGAGAAACGGGGAGCTGTTATTAATTTTTAAGGCTGGCTGGCAGCTTTCAGTCCAAGAACAAGGTTTGACTTTGCATTTTGAATAATGCAGAGATTTTTCATTAGCTAGAATAAGAATTGAAATGATAAATGACATATTGCCTGCCAAAATACTGTGACATTACGTTATAGATTTGCAGTTCCCTTTCTGAAGAAGCTTTCCAGAGGTACACTTAGACAAATTGGAAAGCTACCAGTATTGTTGTCTTATTTTATGTTTAGACTTTGGAAAAACAATTCACAGGACAGGTCTTCTTGGCTCTGGGTTTTGGTACTGTCATATGCCAAGGGCAGTTCATTACTGAACTTGAAAGTAAGTGTTGGCACAGACTGTACTAGTCTATGAGATCATTGCAGTTGGTTTCATACATTTGTTTTTGCTCATATCTGCCTTCTGAAGATGTTGGGACAATTTAATTACAACTGCACTTTTGATTCCTACTTCTATCAATGACAAATATAAAATTACCCTTTGTGCTTGAGAACTATCAGACTAAAAGGTTTGTGATTGCTTTTCACTGTCATCTCTCTTCCAGCAGATTGTATGTCAGGTTGGTGTCAGGCATATTGACTCTGTTTTGAGCCCCCACGACTCTTTTTGACTTTAAGTATTATTTGAATTGATGGTATCGCAGCTACTATATCCAGATGTCTCTCGGTAACTTAATGCATGGCCCAAATAACAAACACTAGAATTAAACCATTACTAGGATAGGCTGCTAGCAGCTGCTTCAACCCCAGTTTGATGGGCATTAAAATAGCTGATTCAGAGATTTCTATGCGAAGCTTAAGCTAATTAAAGACACTAAAGTCAATGGAACTACGATATCTGCCAGTAGCAATACAATCCATGCACACTGACATTATTACTCTAAAACAAGGCTGATAGAAGGTCAAAGAACGTTTACCCCATTTAGATGAGCCTTTTACTTTGCATGCCATTTTGCATTACCCAGTTTTGCTTAAAATTACAAACCTCAAAGAAAAGTCTTTTCTCTACTTATTCTGCCAGATGAAAGCAGGTGATTGATTATTCTGCCTTTGCTCACCCAGGGAGGTAGGATTGGAGCATTAGCATTGTTTGAGAGCCTCCAATCAGAATGAGTGAGGAGGAAAAGAAAGAGGGGTCTTTCTGCACCTGCTCTAAAGTACCAGAAGGAAGCAGTTGAGATTTATCATTCACTATGCCAAGGTGTTTAAGTACTTATTCATCCCTAATTCTAATAATTTCCTTTAGGTCCTAAAATTGTTCATCCTGAACCAGCTGTTTTTGGCTGCACAGCCTGTCTTCCCTGTGAGTCTTTCAAAGCAGGCTACTGGCTTTCTGTTTATCAACTTTGTCGGATTGTAGAACTACTAGTAGAACACCCAAAAAAGAGACTTTTTAAAGTTAATGTCATAGTGGGAAGTGTTATCATTACAACTGTACTTTTGAAACATCAGAAACTTTCTGGCTCATCTAGCATTAAAATTTTTTTTTAATTTTAATTTTTAATTTTCAAGCAAGCATAAAAGATACGATGCAAACTGTCTGCATGTTTTCACTGCACGATGAGTTTAATTTAATATTTCTCCTTTATCAAGTAAATTGAGATGAGAGCTCACTGTCAACTGGATTCCAGTTCATATATCATGAACTGCATCTGTTTGGTGGAAAGCACCCACCAGACCCCTTAGGAGTGGTGTTCTAGAAAGAAGTTGTAATGGCTAGCTAGACACTTAATCTCATTTTGTTCAAGAGTCAACTTTACAACTCAGGCAGTAACTGCAATGACATAACCAAATCTCAGCTATGATTGGCTGTGATTTGTTTACCTAATAAGTGTTATTTTTAAAATAAATTAAAATTTTCTTTGGTGTTACATGAGCCCATAACAGAATTGTGACAAGAAGTGCCTTGTACTTTAGCGGGCAGGTGCTTGATAACTGCCATGCTGCAAAATCTCTGCCTACGTAACTGCAGGTCATATATGTCTTTTTCTGAGTGCTCTGTTAAAATATGGCTACTTAGCTTTTTAGCATCCCATTAATTCTTTCTCGGCATCTCTCTCTCTCTCTTTTTAAATCTTGCCTTGAAGGTTGCCATTTTTAGTTCTCTCAGAGTATTTTATAGAGTTCATATACATATAGATCTTGCTATAATGTATTGAGGTTATTGCTATTAGTCAGATTTCAAAATTCTGCAGCCAGCATACTTACAGTTGGTGATGGATAAAGCAGCCCTGAATTTTCTACTCAGCATACTGTTTAGATCTCTGATGAAAAGTGACGGCGACATGATATGACAGCAATCTGTAGGCTTCCATGTCTCTGAGCATCTTCCCACACAACTTGGATTCAGAGTTTCAATAAGTGCCATCTTATGTGTATGCAGTTTGGTTTGTAAATGTTTGATTGTAACTTTACTATGCTGAGTTCAGTCATTTTAAATTCCAAATAGGAATGATTTGATAGCCTTGTGATGGTGTGTTTTGGAAGCTATGTCTCATCCAAAATCAACCCACAGGGAGATATAACAATACTTACAGGTGTCTTCTTCTTCCATGAAAATACTGATCACATAACAGGCATACACAAAACCAACCAACTGCAAAGGAGAAAAAACAAACAACATACTTTAAGAATCTATGCCAAACGTCCATAATTAAAGAGCCGATATAATCCAATAGATAAAGAATATATAGTAGTAACCTCTATGAATGTGTACTAGAAAAAAATCTTGCTTGTAAATAATAGCCATGATTTTAAAGAGGCTTTGAATTTCTACTGAGCTTTGGTGGTGTTCTAAAAATGCATACAATAATGGGAAAAAACCCAATTTCTAGATATTTCATTTATATTTTGATTGGGATTTACAGGCTATATATATATATATATATCGCCTTTTATATATTTCATATATATATATATTTTACAGGTCTTATATTTTAAAATCACCACAGATTATTAAGTACATATATTTCTAAGTTTTGATTATTTATAGAGCAATTTGTAGCAGCACTCATTACTACAACTATTCTAATGTTTAATAACCACAAAAGGAATCAAAACATGTTAATTATAAATTAAATACCAATTATCTACTTAATTACTTAAAATACACAGAGAATGTAAATTCTATTTAAATGCTAAATTGTTAATTGTATCGCAAGAAAATCCATTAACTTTCAGGTATTCATCATAAAATAAAATAGAAAAGATCGTTCATACTTTGGATACTAGTGAGTAAAAGAATAAACACAGGTGTCAGAGTGTAGGCTTTCTAGCTTTTCTTGTTGCTTTTTTCACTCATTATACTGAGAAGACAATTTTGATTCTATGGAGCCAGAGACACTGAAATTCTTGGAGGACAAAATTGTCATTGAATCTAGTTTAGTCTAAAATTACTCTGAAAAGTACTTTGATGAAAAAGAGGTACCTCCATAGCTGTTATATAGTCTGTCTTCTTGCCTTTGTCTCCACTGTTTAAGTCGGCTTCCCCTCTTTCTGTATAAAATAGCATTTGGGAAGGAAACTTTCCTGATAGTTGCAGTGTCAAAGGCTCAATGCAGAGAACAATGTGTCTGGTGTTTGTGACTGCCCAGGTAGATTAGGACTCTGAACTCATAATCCACATTTACACTCTCTAGCCAAAGGCCAAAAAGTCCCTCAGAGGGTGAGAGGTTAGAGAGAGAAGCACTTATGTAGAGCATGTATCCAGAGAGCAGAAGGGTCCTCTCACCCCACTGGGTGCCCCACTCAGAGGACATCCTGCTAAGTGCAGGTGACCTCAGAGGAACGATGCTGGTACTTGGTACATAGAAGATGAGTAGGAGGGTTAAGTGGCCAGCAGAGAGGCTGATCATTTAGAGAAACGGGAAGTTCCTAAGGGGGTGCTGAGGTGGCTTTCCGATGAACCCACAAAAGGAAGACTCTCATTTAGGATCTGTTACACCCAACAGCCAGGTAAGACCTTGTTCCTTGTCTCTTCTCCCATGATTCCTCCTTCCACTTTATTCCTCGAATAACTGTAAGAGCAGCTGGTGAGTGTAGAGAGAAATGAAGTGGAGTGAGAAGAGGAGAAGGCAGCTGGCTGTGGGTGGCTTACTGCAGATCTGCAAGTTGAAATCAGACCCAAACTAAGGAGGAGAGTCTAAGTAGTTGAGAGTTTGCACTGGCCTGGGCTGGACTTTTTTTTTAATATACAGGTAAAATTGGTATGTAACATTGTATAAGTTTCAAGTGTACAATATTATAACTTGACATCTGTATACACTACAAAGTGATCATCACCAAAATTCTAGTCTCCATCCATCACCACACAATTGACCCCTTTCACCCATTCCACCCTTCCTAGAACCCTCTTTTCCTCTGGTAATCACCAATCTGTTCTCTGTATCTATGAGTTCGTTTTTGTTTCATTTGGTTTTTGTTTTTGTTTTTTTTTTAGATTCCACATATGAGTACAATCATATGATATTTGTCTTTCTCTGTCTTACTTTACTTAGCATAATACTCTTGCAGTCCATCCATGTTGTCACAAATGGCAAGATTTCATTATTTTTTTTATGGCTGAGTAGTATTCCATTGTGTGTGTGTGTGTGTGTGTGTGTGTGTGTGTGTGTGTGTGTGTAAAGAAGTTGTAACATATATATACCACAATGTCTTTATCCATTCATTCATCGATAAACACTTAGGTTGTTTCTATATCTTGGCTATTATAAACAATGCTACAATGAACATGGGGTGCATATTATTTTTTGAATTATTGTTATCATATTCTTTGGACAAATACTCAAAATTGGAATAGCTGGATCACATGATAGTTCTATTCTTACTTGTTTGAGGAATCCCCATATTGCTTTCCACAGTGTCTGCACCAATTTACACTCCCACCAATAGTATATGAGCTTTCCTTTTCTTCATATTCTTTGCAACATTTTTTATCTTTTTAATATTAAGAGCCAGACTTTCTAATATCTATGAGGGACCAAAAAAGCTATAAGTTCTGCCTGAAATGTGGCTCAAAGGGTGAGATAGACCAAGACCACAAAGTGTACTTGAAGGGGCAGTGGGAGAAAGAATAAAATGCCTTTTAACTATATTGTACAAGTCCATCTCATTCAATAAACCAGTTACATACAGGAGAAAGAAATGGCCTATGATCCTATTATTAAAAACTTCCTAATGGATAGTCTTCCAGCCCTTTTTCTCATAGTTGCTATATACCTTAGTTATATTTTTATGACTCATGTCAATACTTTGCATAAGCTTAATTATTAACTATATAAATTTGCATAATTTAAACATATTGTAATGTATTTAAGCAATATTCTATTATTGAACATTATTTTCAAAGTTTTCATATTATAAATACCATTATGATGAATATTAATGCTTTTTCTATATTTTGGACTATCTGATTCCCAAAAGCACTATAAATATTTTTACACATTGTTAACTTGCTTTTCCAAAGGTTTGTATCATCTTTTATCCTACTACAGAAGTGAATGAAAATGCTTACTTTAGCACACCCTTAGTAGCACAGGATTTTTTAATTTAAACAATATATGCCAATATAATAGACAAAATAGTCTCTCCTCACTATTTAATTTGCAATGTTTTATTTCATCTGAAACAATTTCATATTTTATTAGCCATTTATATTTTTTCTTTTCCAAATTATTTGCAGAAGTCCTTTACCCATTTATTAACTTGATGTTGTTCTCATTAATTTGTTTGAAGTCTTATGGGGTATATGCTCGTATATACTAAGCTTTTGCTATATTTATTGCAATTTTTTTCTTTATGTCAGCAAGCGATAGTGGTGGCTTCATAACTTGGGGATGTTTTCTTAGTAAACCATACATTGGAAGACATCTGCCAACAAATAACTTTCTAGTTAGGGGTATCTGTGCGCGTGTGTTTGTGTGTGTGTGTGTGTTTAACTCAAGAACTTTCTCATATTAATTTTCTAGTGCTGCTGTAACAAATGACCACAAACGTGTAGGTGAAAACAATACAAATTTATTATCTTATAGTTCTGGAGGTGAGAAGTCAGAAATGAATCTCTTTGGGCTAAAATCAAGGTGTCAGCAAGTCTGCACTCCTGGAAGGTCTGGCAAAATCTGTTTCCTTGTCTATTTCAATTTCTCCAGGATGCCTTCCTTCCTTGGCTTGTGACCCCATTTTTCATATACAAAGCCAGCAACCTTGAACTGAGTCCTTATGCTGCTATGTCGCTGGTCCTCCCTCTTCTACCACCTTGTTCCACTTTTAAGGACCCTTATGATTACATTGGACCCACCTGGATACCCCGGGATAATCTCCTTATTACAAGATCACCTGATGAGCAACCGGAATTCATTCCTTTTTGGAGACTAGGATATGGACATCTTTGAGGCACTGTTATACAGCCTATCACATCTGTGAACTTGTGTTTTAGGTTCTCAGTAGACTCTGCAGAATTTAGGTCATAGTGGGGAAGGAGAAGTGATATTGAGGAAATTATTTAAGTTTTAATGTATGAAGTAAAATCATAGCATCCTGATTTGTATTTATTATTTGTTTTTTATTTTATTATTATAACTTTTTTATAGCTGAGCCATCCTGTCATCTGTTGGCAGCTCAGTGGCAGCTCAGCTCGGGCTGGGAATTGAACTGGTGACCCTGTTGCTCAGAACTCGCACTTTTGAGCGAGCTCTTACCCAACTGAGCCACTCGGCCGGCCCATAGCATCCTGATTAAAAAAAAAAAAACTACTTGAAAGGAAACTGAGAAGTCAATTTGCATATCAATTCATTCCACTCAGGAAATGCCATATTGGGGAGAATACAACTATCATCAATTTGGTGTTTGTACATCCAGGCTATGTTTTTACACCTTTACTATAAATATTGTGTTGTCGGAAAAGTCATGATGCATTTTTACAATGAAAAACATAAAAAAAATACATCATGACTTTTTCAACAACCCAATACATATCTAGAAGCAGAACATATTTCTTTAAAATAGTATATATTTCAAATAGTTTCCTTGATTATTCAAACTTTGAGGGAATTGTCTTTATTTGTTTTTGTTTGTTTGTTTGTTTGTTTTTGTAGCTGAGCCACCCTGCCACCTGTTGGCAGCTCAGCGGCTGCTCAGCGGCTGCTCAGCTTGGGCCGGGACTCGAACTGCTGTTGCTCAGAGCTCAAACACTTGAGCGAGCTCTTAACCAACTGAGCCACTCAGCCGGCCCAAGGGCATTGTCTTTTCAATTTGATTAGATCATCATTGGTTTTATTTTGTATTGTAGCTGACACAGAGCTTATAGGAGGAGGGTACATGTCAGCTCTGCCATTTAAGAAATTTTTTCCTGCATGTGTCCATAATTCATTTTATCTTCAAGCCATAGATTCCTTCAGGGGAAGTTCTAAGTCCCATGACTGTTTTGGTTTTGTGAGCATTAATGTTCTTAAAAATAGGCAATGTAGTCTGTAAATCCACTTAACCCAGCACACAAAGATTGTAATCCATCTTAATACACTCATTCAACATGCGTGTCACCCTTAATCCCATCACACAGGGGGGCTCCTACTTCCTCA